ACCTCCTTAATTTTATACATTTTAATTTTAGCTTATATTTATCTTTGTTAGCTTTAAGTATTGAATTAATTTTATTAAACCTGTTTTAATTTTAAAAATCATGTTAGCTTAAAAACCGGTATATACCGACTCGTAGGATGACTCCACGGTCGTAGGGTCCTGAAGGGATCACCAGAGCCATGCTCTTGCGGCAGGTGATCGTAGGTTGGGTGGGCACAAAGCGAGCACAACAACATCTGTGTCTCTGCATTGTATAGATTTTCTCTCTGTCTTCTCTTCTCTCCACTTCCGCTTTTCTTCTGTCTTCTTTATGTTGTGGGAATTTTGTTTATCATTTCTTCCGGTTTTGTTCTAGCTTTTATTTTGTCGCAGCACGCTCAATTCTAGTCTTTGTAATAATAATGTGTAGTCGTTGTCCGAGATCTGGGTGAGCAAGACCTCCACCCCCAAAGCCGACGAGCTAGAGCCGGAAAAATAAAGCGTGCCCCAGCAGCCCAGATCCTCACCAACCCCGACGAGTATATGGTTGCACGCTACAGAGGGAATTCTTCTTTTGGCAGTTTGAAACTTTAACAATCTTATTTTGCCGTCGATTTTGGGCCAATTATTTAAGTTATGACATGGAAGGTTGATTGACGAAACACGGTTTCATTTTGCCCATGAAAATAATCTTCGACATGGCTGCCAACTTAATTATGCTTCGCACCCAAAAATTTTCGGGCTATTGTTTTTGAGATTTCTGTAGTGAAACAACACCGTCAGCTGGTAATTAATAAATATAAATGTAAATTTTTGCACAAGTCTCAAAATGGTTATTGTTAACAAAACACAACTTTTCACCCATCTAGCTTTAAAATCAATAAACAATAAGGCGATTTTAGCATATTTTCCCGAGCACTGTGCATTGTTAATAGAAATGTAGGATATGCGGCACAAACTTGAAAATGAAAAGCACAAAACCGAAGAATATTGTAAAATAAACCCACCAGACAACAATCAACTTTTTCGCACAGACTGTGCTCCTGCCGCTTTTCGCTTGTTTTTCGGCTTTCCCGGCACACCTGCTGCCACAACAATACAACACCTTTCCTCAAGTTTTTTACTCGACTGCAGTTTTTGCGAGCTTCGAGCTCCGAGCTCCGAGCTCCAGTTCCCAGCTCCGAGTTCCGAGTTCCCAGTTTTGAGTTTTGTTTGCTTGTCAATGCAAAATGGCAGAAGGGAAAAAAACAAAGAGTGGTTGTACTTGATAATGCTCGCTGGGATTGTATAATGAAATCAAATTGCAAAATAATTTGCATTTTATATGAGAAAGTTTCCTTGTTTTGCCCTAAATGGGCAATGGATAGGGGCGGCTTTTATTTATATTTTATAACTTTTTGGCTTTTTAGCTTATATTACGAAATTTATTGTTTAAAATTTATTTAAACTGGAGTTCTCATTGTTTTGTTGGCTTGCATAAATGTTTTTTTTTTTTTTTTTTGCATTTAGCATACAGCATTTTGTTACATTAAACACAACATTTTTGCTGTTGAGATAGGATAGTGGAGTAATGCCTATTGTGTAAATAATTTCCTTCTTCCGATTTAAAGAATCATGTGACAACGATAGACAATTAGTCTCTGGCATTTTTACTGTCATTAATTGATTTCGCTATTGCCGCTTGAATGGATACATAAATATAAATGTCAATGCTGGCCAGCGTATATATCAATCAATATTCCATTATTGCAATAACATTATTTCAATTGAGTTTTTGCCTTTTGAGCGACGTGACCTCAATGGCAGACAAGTGCAAGTGGATTGGATAATCGATTTATTTCGAAAATAATCCAGCATAATTAACTGCGACCCTGAGGGTCCCAAGAAGCAAAGGGATGCCTGTAAAGGGATGCCACTTAAACTTGACAGGAGCAAAGCTGGAACACAACAAGAGCTTGGCCTGCATGTCCTTTCACATGAGCAGCTCATAAAAATGCGAAGCGAGCTGACAACACTTTTGTGCTTTATGTGTGGGAAAATCCTAAGCCCATGTCCCTGCGCACCTGCCTCTGGTTTCGTGCCCGGGGGCAGGACGAATTTCCTTCCTGCCGACACGCCATGTTGTCAGGATCTCACTCAACAGTCATTTGAAATAAGAGTTTATATGATATGTGTGCGTCGGACGGGGAGTGTCCCCGTCTCGCCTTTTGCTGGGGGGATGTGTTAATTACAGAGAAATTGCGAGAATTTGTATTATTTACTTTGTTATCAGGACTCGGAGTGTTCGGCTTTTGTTAACTGCCTCTTGTGCCATTGTACCATGTGTGTTTCTAGGTGTAAAGGAAATCTTTGAGTAAATCTCAGTTTAAGGGTTGGATTTTCTTTAATAAAGCTTAGCGCAGGAAGGACCTTAATAAATATCATTATTCACAAATCAGCAGGGTTTCCAGCGGCACTATATATAATTATTGATATTTATTATTTTAGTTTTTTAAACTTAACTGGTCTTTAAACTTAACTGACCTACAAGTTTGTCCAGTTGTGTCCCAATTTCTGGTAGTATTTCCACTTTTGAAATGATCAGTTGGCATAAAGATTTTCTTTTATCCTTTTTCGGGGCCTTCGGCATTCTTCCTTGGCATTCCATTTTAATTGTCCTTTGCGATTTGGCTAAGGCCATGAATGTGTGTGTGTGTTGTGGCATTGTTCTTGTGATTGCTGTTGCTTGGTCCTTGGTCCTGTTGTTATTGCATTCCTTTGCTTTGCTTTGGTTTTTCGCAGCGCGTAAATAAATTTCATATCATGACATTTATTACTGACCCTTAAGCCCCGCTGCCACCCAATCCGCCATTCGAAGGCCACAGGACCGATACATGTGGGCCTGGAGATTACCAACAGTTTTCCCCATCCCCAAGCCCCGATTCCATTCCGCATCCTTATTCCCCATCCCATTGCCATTTCCCAAGGGTTTCCCAATGGCTTTTTGCACAGCCGCAGCGGTTACAATTTTCATTTAAGATTTGTTTTCGCTTTTTAGTTGTCTCTTTTCTTTATTTTTTTTTCGTTTTTTTTTTTGCGCACACACACTCGCACATTTTGATTTATTTTAGCACTCAATGGCGGCAACGGGGACGAGGGAAGCGGCAGGTCAAAGGGCGAACAATGACGGGAATGCAAAACAAATGCAGGGGAAATGAACGAGGCCTGAAATGAATGCGCAATGAATGGTCGGAGCGAATGAAAAGCGGGAAAAGCGAGAAAAGCACAGATGAAGACGAAGATTAAATGTAAGTGGACGGCACACAGAAACAATTGTAGTTAATTTACGCGTAGAGAGAAATGCATAACAAATTAATGAGAATTCCAGCGTAAATATATCACTGGGAAAAAAGTATATTTCTCAGAGTTTCATGGGCCGGGAAATTGTATATGGTATATAAAATAAAAGAATAAAATGGTATAGACAATATAAGCTGGCTTAATCTTCTTTCAGTATATTGATATCAATAAGGTTGGGTTTCTTTTCCTTAAAATAATATTGGTAATATTGGTAATATTATTATAATATAGGTTATATTATTTCATTGGTCGAAACAGACTAAACATCATATGCGAAACCAAAATATACTTTTGAATTGTATAAAATATTCAGTAATTTATAAGACCCTTTTTAATTGATTTAATATTATTTTCACCCTTTTCAGTATGTAAAAATCCCTTTATTTGCAATTACTAACTTAAATAATATTTAAAATCAATTAAAAATTAAAAAACTTTAGAAATTTAACCAGTTACTAGCAAGCTTTATAATATAGAAGAATATCTTATGATATTCAAATAAAATAAATAAGTATTTAAGCCAGTAAAATCATTGTTTTAATATAAAGATTCTTATAATAAATCTAAATGAATATAATCTATTTATAGGGAGATCTAGATTTTTTACAGTGCAGCGAATGAACTCAAGACCCTGTCCTCGCCTCAGGGGCCTCGGACCTCCTTTTGTCCTTGCGCGTATCCTCCTTTTCAAAGTTTACTTGACTGTGAAATAAGCGGACAGCGAGAGATCTCGAGCCTGAATGGAAAGCAGTGAAAGAAACAAACGCATTGTCTTTGTCTTTTGCATAATTTATTTATATTTTCATTTTCATCGGGCGTAATTCGCGCTGTTAAAAAAGAGGGAGCGGCTGCGGGCAGATGCCTACGTTTCCGGCTCAGCAAATAATTACAAGCTTAATAACAAATTTAATATTGCTCGTCCTCGAAGGCCGCTCGTCTTATTTATTGTTTACCCTTTGTGCCTTCTTTGTCGTGTACGTGTGAGTCCTGGTCCTGGTTCTGGTCCTGGTTCGGGCCATCCACCTGCAACTGTTGATACGTCCCATACGCTCCGTGCCTTTTAATGAGACAAACAACAAAGAGCGTGTCCGCAGTGTCCTTTCTTTGCTTGCCTCCTGCGACCCCTTTTTATTTGCTGGCCATTCGCTTACAGTGGGTTCTATTAAAGCTCTCTCGCACACGCACACACGCGCAATCGTCCTTTTGGCCTTATTTACACTTGTCAACCCCTGGGTCCCTGTAGCTGTCCAGTGTAGCAAGTTGTTTGTCGCTCTTTAAGTCGTCTGAAGAGCTGTTGGCCTTGCAATTAGTTGAGGAGCCTGTCAGGCTTTCTTCTATTTGTTCCGCTCGTTGCAACGCCAATTTTGATGGCAATGTTACGTCCCGGGGCCCCACTTCAGAATCACTAAACACACGCACTCACAGGCCCACTCGAGGCAGTTCCCGGAGAGCGTTACTTAGATGCTCCAACTAATTGCCAAGTCAAGTTCTCGGCCAGAGCAACACAAAAGGCGAGTGTGCTTGGAGTGGCGCACGTTGCCGTTGTTGGAGAAAGACAGTTTATTCCTGAAATGGAACTCCGGAAGGGTTTGGGGTAAGACCATTGCGAAACATAAAATCTCCAAGCATTATTCCTTATTTTCATGTTAACTTTACTTTTGTTTGTTTTTAATGTTAATCACATTAGCTTAGACTTTTCACTTTGGCTGCCGGCACACTTAAGTAAACTTAACCAAAGAGTTTAATATTTGTATAAAATCTGAAAAATTTGATCCACAGATCTGTAAAAAGCTGAAGAATGGGTGAGTTACCTTGTTGTTGTTCGAAATATCGCCTAACCGGTCTCATTAGATTGCAACAAACCGGAGGAACTGCGGCTGGATCCGCCTCTTTTTGTGCCCTGCGATATGGACCAGTTCCGGGATCCGAATAAGCAGCGTGCAGAAGTAGATGCCTGCGAGGAGCTGGAGAAGCTGGACGCCCAGGATGAGATCAGTGTGTCGAGTATCATCTCGGCATTATTGCGCCCCATCGAACCCTCCGATGAGCAGATGAAGGTATGTGACTGGGGCATCAATCCCAAGCATTTCCTGCCCACCAAACAGGCGGTGGTGTTCCGGGAGCAGCTGTTCATATCGAAGCTGCGGAATACAAATTGCAAGCTGAACGAGGATCTGAAGATCTTCTTCGATCGCGAGCTGGAGCAGATCGGGCGCTTCTGCCTGAACGTGGAGGAGGCCTTCGATGGCTACGTGGTCTACAGCAGCAGCAAGATGAAGAAGGGCAAGGGGATGACGGAGTGTGGCCACCAGTTGAAGGGCAAGTACGATGACAAGTTCCTGCTGATCTGCGAAAAACGCTCCGAGTTCGATCGCATCGACAACACCCGGGTGGAGAAGATCCTGGAGGTGCGCAATCATGCGGACCAGATGCTCACCGCCATCCGGGAGACGCGGATCAACGAGGAAGTGCAGCGTTTCAAGGCGAACATCAATATAAAGGATCGAGACCATGTGTTCGTCTTGGATGGCGGCATCATGTTGCTAATGCGCCACCTCATCTGCAACAGTTTCGTGGGCAACTTCGAGTACTACACGATGAATCTGTACGGGCGTGTGCTGCGCTGCAACCTGGCGGTGTCCAAGGAACGCAAGGTGGTCCGCATCTTTTACCGCACCTACAAGAACGTCATTCATGTCGTCACGCAGCAGTGCTTCAACGACGAGCTGCAGGACGTGGCCGAGACCTTCATGTCGCCCGAAGGACGCATCGTCCTGCATTACTGGCGTGGCTACAACTACCTGCTGCATGCCGCCTGCATGCCGGTCAAGTCGACCAAGGATCCTATTGTGCCCAAGCTGGAGCTGATGTGGCGCCAAAACAAGCTGCTCTCCAAAAAGTATCGTGACCTCAAGGCGCTCAACTATGAGAATGCCACCAAATACTTGAACAGCCATTCCCAGCTAGCTGACTATCTGCAGGACTACGTCCTCAATCTGCTCCGCTACAAGCCCACCAACGTCCTGGAGTTCTCCATCATGTTCTTTCAAAATATGTCAAAAACTTGAAAATAATTCCAAATTATCTCAAAAAATTTAAAGTGTAGACCGCATTCCTTAAACTCCACAACTGTTTGGAAAAAAATTATGTTTTTAGAAAATAAAGTTGAGATTGCATTGGTGGGAAAGTGAAATATATGAGTTTGATATACATATATGTTTATGTTATGTATAACAAATAATAGTTTTGATAATAAAACAACTCTAAAAATGTAACATTTAGACTCAAATATAAACACTGATGTAAAATGTTAAAAGCAACTTGTTTTGAAATTTTGGAGTTTGATTTTATAAAAAATATAACTATTTCATCCCAAACAACTCTAAGGTAACAAATGAATTTCTGTTCAAAATATTGAAAAACATTGAATCTAGTAACCGTTGCCGTTCGACCAGCAAAATTTTGGCGTCCCCCCAGCAACCCATTACCTTGTTTATAGCCTTCAAACAATCCTCCGAAATTTTCAGTTTCAGTCTGAGAGGAAACACTTAATGAAGCAGATTCGATCCGCTTCGAACAACAAGACACAATTTATTGTTAGTTTTTCCAGTCTTTTGTCCTTTGAACGAAAATGAAGTGTCATGAGAAGAAGTCGCCGGAACCCAGTGCCGAGTGCCAGGGCAGGACCATTGAGCTGAACCCCGGCTCGGCCTGCCCGGCGCCTCTGATTTGTCCCGAACCGCAGGAGCCGCGCTCGCATCGCTTAAAGAAGCCACCACAACCGGCCCTGGTGGCCTTAGCCCCGCATCCTGACGAGGCCGGTCAGATACATTTGCTGCAAAATATCACTGGACCAGCAATGGAACACCAGAAGCTTCAGGGAGATTTCCAGGCGGGAGTGGACGATCAGCAGAAGCAGTTGGCTGACATCCGAGCTGAACAGTATAAGCAGTCGCAAGTCCCTGCCAACATGCCGGAATTACAGTTTGCTGTAAGTTCCATGGGTCTTAAGATATTATTTGCTAAGTTATAGTATATGATTTATAATTATGAATCTCTACCATTATTAACCAATATAACTTTTGCAGAGAGCGATAGATCCCGAAGCAGACAACCTGCGGAATCCGCCCTGCTACCTACCGCAGCAGGGTGACGATCTGCCCCACAAGGACCAACTGATGCCCATGGGTCCCATTGGACCATGGGCCTCCGGCAAGGTGGACTGGAGCCCCATGGCCGGAATGACGGGAACCCGGCCCGTCGTCGATCGCTACTCAATTACTCGATACAGCCCGAACGAGTGGCGCACCAGAAACCATGAGACGGTGCAGTTCGTAAACGCAACGCAGGGAAAAGCAGATAAGTAAGGATCTTGTGCAGGCATTTGTAGATTCTTGTGGAGATATTTAGATAGTTCCTCTTAGTACAATTTAATTCTGATTATTCTAATTACCTGCAGGAATCGCTTCAGTTCTACCACTGAGTACCTGCGTCTGTCGGCCCTGGTGAACAAGTCACAGACGGAGACCACCGATCGGCTGAGGACCCGCGCTCAGCTCATTGGTAAATGGAAAAACACCCTGGAGAATGCCATTAGGGCCATGGCCGACGAGATTGCCACCATGGAGGTGGACCGCGTCCGGCTGCGCAAGTCGCTGGTGGTGTACGGGGTGCCGGAGTCCATAGCCAAGGAGTGCATTGAAAAGCGGGCCACAAGGCCGGACACCGAGTTGGTGCGTGACCAGGTGGAGGAGGAGTTGGTCAACGAGCTGGCCCTGATTGCCGAGATCCGGCGCCTGATGCAGAAGACCCTGGAGGACTTTGAAATGCAACAGGTGGAGAACCGCACGGCTCGCCAGAGACTCGAGTACGACTGGAGCGACAAGAAGGAGGCCTACGAGATCGATACCCTCAATGTTGGCCTCAATAACCTGTCCAGGACGATAATGTTCCGCCCGGGTGCTGTGCGGCAGCCGCCGGAGCAGGCTTCCGAGAAGTACTGGGAGCACTTCAGCATGGAAACCCTGGATGACTGTGAAAAGTGTCGCCTCAAGTCGGTGGCTCTGCGCAACACACTCCACTCGATCATGATGAATGGAGCCCGCGATATGCGCACTCAGGCCGACGTGGTGGAGAAGGCACTGACCTCCAGGATCAACTGTACCCAGGAGGCAGTGCAGCGCTTCGAGAATGACCTCAAAGAGACTCTGCAGAGCTTGGCCGACGTGGAGAACCGCATCACTTTAATGAAGCGGCGCATCTCGGACTTTGACAGCTCCATGAAGGTAGCCCAGACACGCATGGACAATCGCGGCTACCGGCCTAACGTGGAGAACTGTCGCGATCTCGCTCAGCAGGAGCTCATCGATGGGGTGCACACCATTCAGAGCAGTGTATCGGCCTTGCTCCACGAGCTGGAAGAGTCGGAGCAGGTCAAGTCTGACCTGGTCAATGCCCGTGCCCGTCTTGAGCGCGAGATCATGCTGAAGCGGCGCAGTTTGTTCATCGATCGGGAACGATGCATGCAGCTGCGATCACATTATCCCTCGGCCAACACACTGAGTGGTAACTCCCAAATGTAGACTGGCGAGTCTGTAAGTACCAGAATTTCAACCACTTTGGTTAGTATCCAAATTAAAGAGTGTATTTTTTTTCTTTTTGACCAACAAAATAGTTCAAAATTATCAGGTGCTTAAATGTCTAAATGTATTCTTGTGATTAATAATATTTGATTTGATTAATATTTATTTATTTTACTTTCAAAACATTCAAAGAACATTGTCAAGGACTTCATTTAAGCATACACTTGGTGGATTTCAGAATCAGACCTAAAGCTCTTAAGTTCTTTTTAATAAACGCAATAAAATGCCATTAGAGGCCAATCAGACACGTTTGGAAATCCATATAACTGAAAGAAATATGTTGCCAACTTGGGCCACAGAACCATCTCTTCCCTGTCCCAGGACTCGATACACACACACACGTGTTGGCCTTAGTACTTACCGAAACACGTTCAGGAGCTAGAACAACACGTACTCAATTTAGAGACACTCGGTCGGAGGGGCGACTGATATTGATACCAAGGTAGTTGAGCATTCGTTAATGTTTGCCTTCCTCGGAGCAACAAATATTGGGACAGTTGGTGGGTTCGCCAGGATACATGCAGGGAAGCCAATAAATTGCAGGACGACACCAGGAAGATAGCGTGCAGGAATTTTGAATTGAAAACAAAAAAGGATACGGCTCATTGAAGATATTTTCCCTTTTTCGTTTTTACCTTGCATTGCTCCTACCTAACTTGGAGATTAATATTCTTACATAAAAAGTATTGTAACTTTTTAATAACAAAACTCGACCATAGTACATCGATTGAAGGTCACTGCATTTTACCAAAATATAGACTTCAAAGGGAAAAACAAGGCAGAGGCGTTGCTGAGAATGGGACATGTCTCCTGTCTTTCTTGGATTGCGTGTGTTCCATGGTCTTGTCTCCGGCATTTCCCTTCCTTCCGCATACGTGCTAAGCACTCGTCGGCCAAGATTTATTGCCGGGGAACGTGTTGTTTTTCATGTTGGCCAAAAAAGAGTTGAATGAAGCACAAAGGAACTAGCGTTCAGATGGATTCTTCCAAAGTGATTGGGTTTTTTTCTTGTTCTGTCCCGTGGCAAGGTCAAGGATGGACCATCAAGGACTAAACAGTCATTCGATGATGGATCGCCAGAGAACTTTGTTCGATTACAAATATTTATTGTTATTTTGAAAGAATGGTAAGCAAACTTTCAATATATTTGTATGTAATTATCAAGTTATCAATAAACTAACAAAGAATATATCAGGATTATAGATTTATTTCATAGATTGACTTAAAGTGGGTAAAGTATCCTATAGAAATATCCAAGTTACTTAACCAAGCCACTGATTTTCCAAAAGAGTTTTAACATAACCAGCTGAATGCCTTCAGTAAAATATGATACATTTCAGGGCTTTAAGTTAATTATAGTTCCACTCATTTATTGTAACCATAAGCAACTGAGAAACAGTGTAACTGCTGTGTTTCACCGCAAGTAATTTGAACTTTAAGTTCACAACACAACACAACACAACACAAGGAGACAACTCTATTACCACACAGAAGCAAGTCTCGGGGGCATCAAAGAGCCATTACTCAAATTTTGCCAGCCTCTGCTTCCTTTCTGCTTCCCGGACTGCCTTAAAAAGGAAATATCGTTTTTCTTATGTTTGCTGTATGCTGTTAATATTTCGTAATGCCGGTAAAAATCACAGCGTGTGGTTTTCGCAGCCAACTTAAAAGAGGCAAGAAAACGGAAACATTGCATACATTTTGGCGCTGATGCCGCTTGCAAAAATTGGCGACTGTCGCCGTTTGCCACGCCCCCATTGCCACCATTGCCCTTCCCCCTCCCTTACCAAACGCTTTTTCTGCCGACACCATGCGGCGACTAAGAAAAAATCTGTTGCATACTGTTTGCGGCGAAACGCAAAAAATGTTATATTTCAACCGCCCGCTGGGAAAATGGGGGAAAAAAAAAATGGGAAAAAAGGAATCCACAATGTAGCGAAAAATAGGCAACATGAGACTTTAAAAAAATTGTTTGATGTCCGGGCCGGGTATGTGTTTCCCTCTGCGTTTGTGTACGAGTTGAGGTCCTTATTTGGCCCAGAGCTTTATTCTATGGGCCGTTTAAAGTTGAATGCCTCGTACTTGAGGTGAAAACTTTCTGCGAAACTATTCCCAGTTGGAGATGTAAAGTTGAATGCCACACCTTCGACCCTGGGAGGCAATAATTCAGCTTCAACGTAGCAAGACATGCAATTTAATTTTAACAAAACCTGACATTATCACACCAGCCAACAACACACACAGACTGAGGGGGGTTAGGAAAAGGGGGGGAAGGCTTTGAGCGGCGGCTGCAACACAAAGTTAGTAACATAATAAGTAGCAATTTTCGGTTTCCGCTTTCCGGGCCAAGCGGCAGCAGCGTCAGTGGCTGCAACCTACCATAAAAATACATAAAATTGCGCCAGCTAAAAGAAAGCCCAGGGAGGCGGGCCAAGGGAAGACCATGCGCACAGATCCACAGCCACATCCAGAGCCAGAGCCAGAGCCAGGCAGAGAGCAAGGCGGGAAATGCCAGCAGCCGGAATCACTGGCACCGGAATCGGGGCGGGATCGAGGGATGGAGGCGGGTCTGGTTGCCAAGAAAGTATAGTAACTGCATGCGGAGTAAATTGGAATTTTATAGTTGCAGCCAGCGACTGTTCGTGGGCCGCACAGGTGCCAGCAGCTGCTCCTATGTAGCTTCGAGTCCGCCGTTAACACTGCAACTGAAAGGGAGATGCTATCACGACTAGCAATTCTGGAAAGCGCTTTCCCATTTTCCATTTTGCATTTTGGAATAATCTTAAGCATTTCCTAGAGCAATCCTAGTCCAAAGATGGGTTTTAGTGTTAAAAATTGATTTTAAAAGCGTGCAATTATTATAATTACTCATAATAAAGGCCTCTGAAGTGCATATTTATAGGCTATAACCTTATTTCCCTAATAAAAACTTGAAGAAATTGAGTATTCCTTTCTCAGAACACAATTGATAATCCAAGGAAATGAAGATGCCGCTGACTTTGCAATGGCAGCTAAATTAGTTGCCGGCCACCTTCCGCATTCAGGCCAAAGTCACTCAAAGCGACGACATCAGCGACAACGACAACCATGATGATGATGATGATGATGATGATGATGATGATGATGATGCGGGGGAGAAAGGAGAACGGAAGCAAGAGGAGGGACTAAGGGTGGTGGCGCAACAAAGGTTGCCGGGGCTCGTTAGCATTTTACAACACTGGCATCGGTTGCAGCACGTAGCTCCTAAGATGATTTGTGACCAGCTGCAACTTTTTGTTCCCGCCTCCGGCAGCCATTTTTGATATTATTTCAGAGCTGCCTCGGCACTTCCGTTTCCGCTTTGGCCTGCGCTGCATGTAAATGGGGTTCCCCTACATTTTTTTTTTGCGATCGCTTATCACGCATTGCAGGAAGAGAGTGAGAGAGAATGAGAGAGAGCCAGAGTTAACGTGGGTGACTGCTGATTTTATCTTTGCTGTTGACTTGTTGACTTGGCCGGGTTAACTGTTGTAATGTTTATGACTTCATTATGCTAATAAAATACATTATTTCTCGCAGTCAGCGAGGGTGCAACTTTATCTTTCACCCTTACATGCTGAAAATTCATTCAAGGTGTGCGACGATGACAAGTGGATTTATATTTTTACACATTATGCACACATTAAAGGGAGATTGTTTTATCATATTTAATATCATGTCCATAATTAAGGGGAAATATATTAAATAAATATAGAACATTGCATTTATATAACTTAAATAACTCTGATGTATTCTTTAAATCCTTCATTCATTTAAATACATACTTTACAATCATAAGATTCATATATTCTATTTGACGCGATTAAGAATGTATGTTTTAATTTAAATATTCTGTAAACGCTCGAAACGATTTGAATGAGACATTTAAAAGCTATCCTGGGCATAGTTTTGTCCCCAATTGGAGCCAGTTTACAGCTGCCATATGCAGATATGGCACTGCCCCCAATGCCGCAAACAGTTGATGCATTTTCCCGGCGCACCGCCAGCCGTTAACCGTCAACCGCCAACGCGACTCCTCCGCCTCCTCCTGCGTCAAACAAGCCGATTAGCATACGTTTAGCTCACAAGTTCGCAGAGCCTCATCCTCGGGAGCCCAGTGCAGGTGGGACGGAAATCAGCAGATCGTGTCAAAAGCATCGAGCGAGCTGGCCGCCGCCACAAGCCGCTGACCAGGCCTCCGACCAGGACGAAACTAAACCGAAATGCGCCGCTCTGCGTCCGGCTCGCAGGACGCCGCGCTAATGCGGCGTGAATATGCAAGGAGCGATGGTCGACGGACATGGCGATGTCAGCTGGGGCCAGCACGCTATCATCATCAATGCACGATTTTTTGGCCGCTGTCAGGCCCAAATGTTTGCAAAGCATCCTGTGCAGCTCGTCCCGGCTCGCTGGGATTCCCCGTTGTGCTAATGTGCGGTTTTGGCGGTCGTCGGGAGATTAGCCCCAGTCCCAGCCCAGGACTCGTCCACGGCTCGCCTCTTCTCCCCGTCTCTTCTCTTCTCGTTGACGTTACCTGGAAAATCAAAATTCCAACACGAGCAGATTGTCGGGCATTTTAATAGCAAGAATGCAAAAGGCTCCACCTCTGGAAATGATTGAATGACATGCCCGAAACGCGGGGCTCCCAAATGGCAGCAGACAGGAGGCCCGAGACCGAAGAAGACTCTGACACGTTTTACTCACCGAAAATATGCAATGGAATGAGGTGGTTTTTTTAATACAACAAAAGTCAAAAATTCTCAGAAAAGAACGTCTGAAAGTCCTCTGCCTCAAAAAGGTGAGGGAATCACAAAACGGGGAATGTCATTTAAATTCAAAGCATATTTTCAACAGTAGCACTCTTTTGTCACTTTGTACATTTTATATGGCAGACACTTGGAGAGAATTCGCTCTTCTTATAAGTACAGACATATGAGAGTTCTTTTGGTAATTATAATGTGTAAAATGTATTATTTCCTAATAACTCGGTGACATATTAGTTATATTAAATAATAGGATTTAAACTGAAAATTTCTAAATTGAAGAGGGGGAAAAAACTTGCTGACTTTATTTGAAATTCAAA